GTATCATAATTTTAAAATGCAATGCGCATATCAAAAATTGACAGAGAACAATGTTAAGGTATTGAGTGTCAAATGCGACGCTTTTGTCGTGGACTGTTCGGGTTTTAATAAGTTTGGTTTGAGAAAGACTCAGCAGTTGCTAGATTTTCACGATGGGATCGGTGGGTGGAAATTAGCCAAGACTCACGATGAGATCCATCATACAGGAAAGCAGTTGTATGAACAGAAGAAGTGTGAATATGTTGATATCCCGATTGTCAAAAGTAAGAGAGTTAACATCATTAATGAGTATGATGAAAATGAATTGGTTGAACTTGTTGAGAAATATAGGTGCTTGATGATCAAGGCCAAATTCGCAGGAGCGGGGAAGTCCACCATCTGCAAGAACATGGAGAGACTCAAGGGTTATAAAGTGTTGTTCGTGGTTCCTACCAATAATCTGGGTTTGGAGTGCGAAGTGGAAAGCGTCACTGTAAATAAATTCTTCGGTATAGCAGTCAATGACGAGAAGCTAGATAAATACGATCATTCGATGTTTGATGTCATTGTGTTTGACGAGATTTGTTTTAATAATACCTTTGTATTGGCAAAAATCAAGGGCTTTGTTGAGCAGTTCAAGGACAGTAAAATAATGTTGGCAACCGGTGACGCCAAGCAGTTGAGCCCCATAAAAGCACTGACTAACACTAAGAAACACGAGATTTATATGAATGAATGTATTGACAGCATTTTTCCTCATCATTTGTTTTTGGAAGAGTGCAAGCGATTGAAGACTCAGGAGGACAAGGATAAACTTAAAAGTATTTATGCCGACATCTTTGAGCATGAGTTGTCTCTACATGATGTCATCAATAAGTATTTTAAATATACTGATGACATCACAGGAACAGAAAGCAATGTCGCATATTTAAATAACACTTGTAGAGAGGTTTCAAGGCAGATCAGGAAACGACAGGGCAAACAAAATGAGTTTGAAGTCGGCGAGATCATGATATGCAGAGAGTATAGGAAGACAAAAACCTATAAGTTAAATGTGAATTTTAGGTATGAGATAATTAATATTTCCGATCCTTGGATTACCATTGCTAATATCAAAACACGAGAAGAGATTACATTACATATTGGTATCTTGAGAAGTCATTTTATCTTTGCCTTCTGTTATACTTGTCATTCTGTTCAGGGGTGTTCCATTGATGACGATGTCACCATTTTTGATTGGAACCATCATCTGATAACTCGCGAGTGGCTTTGGACGGGAATCACTCGGGCAAGGGATTTAAACAGAGTAAAATTTTACAAATACAGTAGTGATTTAAATGAAGAGTTTAACGCAAAATGCATTATGAATTATTTTGATAGAAAGGTGTTAGCATACAAGGAACAGGATAGGAAAAACAAATTTGAGATCCCAAAAGACAATTATGTGGATGCCGAATGGTTGAAGGACAATGTCAACGGAAAGTGTGCAAATTGTGGCTGTGGCTTCGTGTTGTCAATGGATTCTGGCAATATAAACTCTAATTTGACATGTCAAAGGTTGTGCAATGATCTTCCCCACACAAAGGATAATGTCATTGCCTTCTGTGCTTCTTGTAATAGATGCTTCAGTGATAAAATAACATATTGATATTTATTTTATAGTATTATATATATGAGTGAAAAAGACAAGATAATCAGTGAGGTCTACTACGATCAGGCTGGGTTTGGTAGCATCGCCACCACTTACAAAGATGCAAAAAAGAAAGATGCATCCATAACAATGCAAGATGTCAAGGAGTGGTTTCAAGAGAACGTGGAACGGAAAAAACAACTGTCTGGATACAATTCGTTTATTGCCCCTGATATCAACTTTGAATATCAATTGGATCTGTTTTTTATATCAAAAAATGATTTAGATAATCAAAAATATAGGATAGGCTTATTGCTTATTGATGTATTTTCCCGCAAAGCCGTGGTGGTGCCTATTGCATCCAAGCAACCTGCCGACATCACGGCTGGGATCATGGAGGCATTAAACAAAATGGGAGGGAAACCCAAATTAATTTATTCGGATGACGAGGGAAGCCTGAACACCCAAGATCTTGTTGATTTTTTCAAGGACGAAGGGATCCAAAACAAAAAACACGAGGGCACCCCCATTTCGCCGAGCGTTTTATTCGCACGTTCAAGGACATGCTTTTCAAGAGGGTTGATGCAGACGAGAAAAAGGGAAAGGTTAATATACAATGGGTTGATTATATCCCCGAGATCATGCTGACATACAACAGTAAAATGGTTCATTCTGCCCACGATATGACTCCAAACGATGCCCACAAAAAGGGAAACCATCTCGAGGTCAAGATGAAGCTTGAGATGAACAGAATCAAAACCCGTAAATATCCCCCTGTTAGGGTTGGCGATGAGGTCAAAATATACCGCAAAAAAGGGATTTCCGAGAAAGAAAGAACGAGCTCATGGTCAGCAAACAAGTTCACAATTGAAAGGACTGAGCGAAAACTTGGACAAGACTATTATTATGTCCAAGGTGTGACTCGTGCTTATTTGAGATCGGAAATTCTGAAGGTTTGAAAAAATAATATCTAAACGGTTCTAATAGCTGATGAATCTATTAGAACTGTTTAGTGGGACAGGGTCGGTCGGTCGCATCGCCCGTGATCTGGGGTTCAATGTCATTTCACTGGATTTGAAGGGTGCTGACATAAACCAAGATATTTTACATTGGGATTACAAACAGTTTGATCGGAATCACCTTGACATAATTTGGGCTTCTCCCCCGTGCACTGAATACAGTAGAGCCAAGACAACAGGGATCCGCAAAATGGACTATGCAAATTCCATTGTTTTGAAGACCCTTGAGATCATTGAGTATTTTAAGCCCCGTTATTGGTTTATTGGAAAGGGTTACCTTTTTTTGATGTTGACTATTGCAAGTATGGAATGAGAAACAGGAAAAGAACTAGGATCTGGACTAACCTAACGACATGGAAACCAAAACCATTGTGTAAAAGGGATTGTGGGAATGTGGTTGATGGGAAGCATGTTGAAACTGCGCAACGGTTGCCATCTGGTAAAAAGAACCAATGGGGGAACAACTACACCAAACACAAACAGGAAGACCTATACAAAATACCCCCAAATCTTATCAGCGATATTTTTAGTGTTGTTTGAAAGGAGGAGCCCAAAAAACACCACCCTAAAAAAACCTCAAAGTCATTTTAGTTAACCGTCGCGCCCTGCCCCGCATCGCTACGACTACTTCGCCCTCATCTTCGCCAAGTGCGCCTTGTTCAGTGAGTGATGGTCTGCATGTCCAGTGAAACATGATACACATTGAATTCATTGAAAGAGCATTTTGGTGTCTCAAGCCTTCACTGTGTCCATACTCCCAATTGGCAGTACTTGAACGTCTGGCTGAGATGAGTTCGCTTGTTCAACAAGCCCTCGCTTCAAAAGGAGTTGGAAAGGGCAATGACATTGAGATGTAGATATGCCTGACCCAGCATCACCCTAGCGCAAGGGGTATCTTGGAAAAATCAACCTTGATTTTTCAGGAAAATCAACCCTGATTTTCAGAAACTAGCACTCAATTCAGTGGAGATGAGGGTTCCCTAAATCAACACTGATTTTTTCATGGTTTCCCTATCATGCTGAGCGCTCAAGGTGGTTCTGACATTGCTGAACAAGTCAAACCCCACACACGTCGTGCGTGGAAGCATCGGCTGAGAGATGAAAAAGGTGTTCCTTATTGCCTCCACCTTGGAACACAACACCAATATGCATCCACCACAAACAAGTTCCCCGCATCTGATCCCGCGCAGGTATGACGAACGAGTTCTCGCTCCGGTGGCTCATTGGGTGGGTTGAGTGGCACTTTTTGGCGGGAATGGTGGTGTTCTTTCGTTTTGGGGTGATGAGGGTAACAGAGAACTTGGGGTTTCATTTTAGACTGTTCGTATTTGTTGGAAATGGGAAAGGGTCTCAGGTTGGATCAAGGGAGAAATTATTGAGATCTTGGGGTTGCGATCTTGGGAATGAAAAAATGTTGGTATGTAGCTTGGATTTTTTTGGTGGGATTTGTTGAGGTGGTATGTAGTTATGATTGTTGTTATTGAATGAGTGTAAGGGTGATGTTGAGATGGGGTAAAAAATGAAGATGGGTATATGAATATGTGTTTTTTGGTGTTGGATTGGTTGGGTGATTGAATTTGAATGTTGAAAATGGGGTGATTTGGTATGTGTGTTTAAAAAGTGCTCAAAAGTGTAGGGGGGGGGTATAGGGCCAGGATGCCCCCATCTGGACGGGAGAGGCATAGTCTAACTCCTTGGCGCGGCTAGCGTGGCTGTCTGAAGATTCCTAGACACATTGTCATCACCACATGTTGGCATTAACCGCACATTGGGCCCATTATGCCGTTGATTTGAATGGACACGATTGCCAGTAAGAAGCATTGACTCATTTGTGGCTTAACTTCCTACTTGCGCACTGAATGAAGTGAAGTCTGTAAAATGAATCTTAGTCAGTTGTCCCCGTAGCGCCCTTTGATGTGCTACGCATTCTGGATCAACAATTGTGAAGTATATGAGGCTTATTATGTGTGTGTCTCTTGCGCAGCATAAAACACACAAACCTGTTGAGAGGTGGGCCTTTTTCTTTTGCACTGTCACTGAATGAAGTGACTCTGGCCGAAAGAGGCAAGTAGACATTTTTTGCACTGTCACTGAATGAAGTGACTCTTGCCGAGAGAGGCAAACATCACATTTCACGATGTGTTGGTTTCCCGCATGGCTCAACATAATGTCTGATCCTTAGGTCTGGGGGGCACTGAGAACAACCAGCCTTGCAGGCACACCCTTGCGGGCACACCCTTGCAGGCACATTGCCACTGAGAACAACCAGCCAACCCATGGCAAGGCTGAAAAGCAAAGCAACACATCAAGCCACCACCTGCAACAGACACTCGGACCACTACACAGGTGCAGCGCAGACAGGTTTGCCAGCCATGGCAGGTGATGGAAAGGGCACGCCCAGCGGAGGTGCAGACGGTAGCGACAGCAAGCGCCACAGCGACCGGGCCAAGGGCAAAGATGGCGACAGCAAGGGCAACGGCGGTGGCAAGGGCAAGCCCAGCCCTCCTGGCGGCGATGGCAGCCAGCCCAAGAGTGGCAGCGCTGCGGGCAGAAGGATGGCGGCGACAGCAAGGGCGGCAAGGGCGGCAGTGGTGGAGGCCCTAAGGGTGAGGGGAAGCCTAGCCCTGGCGGAGGTGGCGGCAATGGCAAGGGCAGCAATTAAGCAGCCCCCAGGTGGTGGCGGCGGCAAGGGCAAGCAGCCTTCTGGCGGAGGTAAGGCCGATGGCGGCGGTGGCGGCGACAGCAAGGGCAAAGGAGCCCTGTGGCGGAGGTAAGGCCGATGGCGGCGGCCCTGGAGCAAGGGCAAGCAGCCCTGTGGCGGAGGTAAGGTAGCTTGCGGGGGCGCTGCCACTGCTGCCTGGGATGGATGTGGCAGCAGCGGCGAATATCGGCCCGCTGGCCCGGCGCGGGTGCGGCGAGCAGTCGACCGTCTGGCTGAAAACCTGTCAACTGACAACGCTGCCCTGAGAGAGCAGCTGCGCGTGCAAGAGCTGGAGGCGGTGAGGCAGCTGCAGGAGCAACAGGGCTTCTTCGAGAACAAAATGCTCGAGCAGCACTTTTCTTTTGCCCAAGCGGAGCTACAGCACAAGCTACAGAGCCTTCTGCAGCAGTCGGAGCAGCAGTTGGCTGCTGCGCAGAAGCGTTTGCAGGCGGAGCGTCGCAGGCGCACCACGGAGGTGAACCGCATGCAGCGGCATCATCAGCTTCAAGTTGCCGCTGCACGCCAGGAGTACGATGAGAAGCTGGCTAAGATGCAAAAGACGATGGCAGAGTTGAACGAGCGCAACCTGGAGAAGCACCTGCACAACTGGCGCATGGCCATGCAACAGCAGCAAGCCGAGGAGGAGAAACAAAAGGAGCAGGATGCCAAGGCTAAGAAGGAGGGCAAAAAGCCGCAGCCAAAGCAGAAGTCCGACAAGAAGCGTTCACCGCCCAGCGCCGCAGACCCTGGACCCAGCCACGCGACGAAGAAGCAGAAATGATGGCTGTGCTTTTTACCCGTGAGCCCGGTACTGTCAGAAAGAAGTGTACAAAAAACTGGGAACCAGTTTTGATGAAAGCTTCAGATTCAGAACACTTGCATCTGAGGACCGGGAGGCAATGTACAGCGCTTTTGGATTTGACTTTGCCGAGGAAGCACAAATATGCCACTAACAGCAATGATCCTCAGACAGCCATGCTGGAACAGAGAAGCATTCCTCCGGGATTGTCCGTTCCACCGAGATCTGATGGGCATCAACAAAGGGCCCCAGCATGCAAAGAAAATGTTTCTGCGCAGTTTTGGAAGGGTTCCTGAATTCTGAAATCCTGTGTCGCGGTTGTCAAACATCGGGCTCATCAACCAGCAAGTTTGTGACTGAGGCTGGACTGTGGTGCAGCCAGCAGCCGTGGAAGGCCAGTGCGCTACAGCATGGTGGGCTAGTGGCTGCCTGCTGCACATTGGTAAGGGCGGGGCACATTTAACTGCCCTGTTCCCACAAAGCTCTGGACCCCTCCAGCGAGCACTCCTGCGTGGGAGGACAGGGGTGTGGCCTCAAAAACTAGCCAAACCCTTCTCGGCTCTATTACCCTTGTGCTCTTTTTGGTGTTGAGTTTCGTTGTGTAGTTCATGGTGTGGGCGCTTTTGGGTTGAACCACTGATTCATGCTGAAAGAAGCTTTTGGGTGCTGAATGAAGCGCCAGCTACAGTTACAGTCACACAGCGAGGATACACTCAACTCAACTAAACTCAACTCAGCTCAACTCAACTCACCTCCCTCATTGCCTTGGCCGCTCAAAACATGTAACACGCAAATTTCTTGTTGCCTTGGCCCCTCAAAATATGGAATTGGAAAAGCAAAGTGCTGGCATTCTGTTTGCTCTCAGCCCCTTACAAAGCTGCAGAAATTGTTTTCTTTGAGGCTGCCATGTGTCGAAGTTTGATGGTGCGCTTTGTTTAGCGCCAGCACTTCTTTCAGTGCGAGTGGCACAGGGCTGTCCGAGCCTGGATGATGAGCTTGTCGCTGTAGGGTGCGCTTCTTTCAGCGCTGGCACTTCTTCCAGTGCCACCCGAGCCTGGATGACGAGCATTGAAATTGTGGTTATAGGGGGCGCTTCTTTCAGCGCTGGCACTTCTTTCAGTGCCATCCGAGCCTGGATGATGAGCATTGGGGTTGTAGGGGGCGCTTCTTTCAGCGCTGGCACTTCTTTCAGTGCCATCCCAGCCTGGATGATGAGCAGCGGTTATAGGGGGCGCTTGTTTCAGCGCTGGCACTTCTTCCAGTGCCATCCGATGTGGTTGTAGGGCGCGCCTGCTGGCGCTTTTTTCAGTGCCATCTGAGCGCTTGGTTGTAGGGTGCGCTTCTTTCAGCGCATGCAGTTCTTTCAATGCCATCCAAGCCTTGCCCACCTTAGCAGCTAAGCCTCAGTGTCCCTGAGCCCGGCGCGGCCTTGTAAAGTATTTCTGGGTGGAATGATTATCAGTGGACTTCAACTCGAATGCGCCCAAAAAAACCCAACTATTGAGTGGACACACCAGACAATGTAAAATAGCAAATGCAAGCAAACTGTCAGCCCTTCCCCACTGCTGAGCTCCCGGACTGAAATGGTTGACCCAGTGCTAGCGCTGTGTTCAGCGCTTGGGCACTTCATTGGCCCATGACATCCATTGAAAAGTCAGTTCCTGTGGCGCTTTGTCCAGCCTTTGCCCACAACTTCCAGCCCCATCTCGCTCATCCGAAATCCTCAGTTCCTGTGGTACCAGGTCCAGACGCACAAGTGGACACTTCATTCAGCGCCCTCCCCCAGACATGACTCATGTGGCTCAAGTTCCTCAAATAATCTTCCAGAAATGCAGGGATGCGCTCATATTTCAAGAGTACAGTCCACATACTAAGCTGCTGTGTTCTTATTCAGGCTCAAGGGGGATGCTAAAACAATTGGGGGAAGTGGAAGAGATGACTACACTGTGTTTCTAGCAGTGATGGATTTGGATGCTATGTGGAGCTGTTGGAGCATAGCATGGCATTTTTGTTCCATCACTGAAACTAATGTTTGGCACAATGTTGCAAAAACAAAAAGTCTCGAATAGCCTGCCAAAAAGGCTTGGATGAATAGATTGTGCCTTTAATGGAAACCCCGGATTAATAAGTTGTGGTTGATTAGTAGGGGGGTGTCCTCTTTTTAGTGGGGATTGCTCACTTTTGGAGAGGACCACCCCCCCATTAATAAAACAGGCATGTTAGTCCGGGGTCAACATTGGTGCCATTCATGCATGGTGTCCTGCTGCTTTGAGAGCTCTGGATTCAACAAGATGGGGTGGCAGTGCGGATGCTTTAGACTGATAGGGGTGTCTTGTTCGAGGCTGTTTCAAGTTTTTTGCGCTCGTTTGCAGGAAGATCAAAGGGACATCGCGTTTTGCGGGAGCCAATTTTTCGGCAGTCCGTCGCATGCAGGCAAGAAGGAGAAGAAGCTGGCGCTCCTGGTTCGCAGCGGGTCGACGCAGGCAGGGCAGCGGTCAGGTTCAGACACAACCCAAACAGGTGCGGATTTCCGCATTTGTTTTTGCGTGTTGTAGCGGTCTTAAAGGGAAACCAACAGCAAAACCAGGAGCGTCCCATGACAAAAACACCCACATGGCCCTTTGCGCTGACGCGTGGAGGCGCTTCTGGATTACCAGCTCGAGCCTCTTCAACTTCCGTTTTTGCGATCCGTCCCCATTTGGCGATCCGCTTGTGAAGGGGTCAATGCCAGATCAAGCCTAGTGTCGCGTTCCTTGATCTTGTCGCCTGCGCGGCCCACGGGCGTGAGTGGATTCTAGGTTTGGTTTGACTCAGTTGAGATCCAGTGGTCCGGTGTTCATTTGGGTTGGTCAAAAGGAGTGAAGCCAACAAAGTGTGGTTTTCTTTTCGGTCTCCCTTGAAACCAACATAGAATGGGTACTCCCAAACAAGCAAGCACACGCAGACACTCACAGACACATTAACATACACAAGCATACACACACACACAGAGACTCCCTTTTTTATTTCTTTTATTTATTTATTGGGGGGGGGGGACATCGGGCCCCGCTTTTTGAGCGAGCTGCGCAGGGCATCACCTCGGCAGTGGCTTCGGCCTTGGCGGCCCTGCCTGAGGGCACCTTGGTCGCGATTCGTTTCAGTGGAAACTGGGATCTGAAGGGGGGATGGGGGGGGGGTGCGGGGGGGGTTGCGGGGGTGGGGGGGTGGGGGGGTGGGGGGGGGCCCTTAAACTGAATCTCAAGTCCTGAGCTTATGGACTTTGTGTTTCTTCCTGAAAAACCATGTTTGTGGCAAACACAAAATTCAGCTAGCCAATCCGCTCAGGAAGCGAGCGATAAGCTCCATTCCCCTGAAATTGTTTCGGGTGTTCCTTCTGTTTTCGCGAAGCCCAGTCCCAAAATCAGGATAAAAGTCCTTCATCCAACTGTACTTTGGGATGACAACATTTTTAAGGGTCATGACTGGCAAGGATGTGTTTTCTAGCGGCACCCGAACTGGGATCTCCCTTTGAACATATTTACGGATTCACCAAATATCAACTATCAAACAAGATTGCCCGTTGTGGTTGGAGGGCCAAGCTGATACATAACATAACCTTTTTGGACAAGAGGAATTTGTTCCATTGACCCTACAACAGGTGCTCGACCTTTGGCTCAGGGCTTGGGCTTGAAGCAAGTCAAGGCAAAGAAGTTGGTGCACATATTCTTTCCAGTGAAGTTCTCCCATTTTCGCCACGCGTTTGGTCCTTAGCCATCGCCGGTCCCGGCCCGCTTCGCACGGTCGGTCCGAGGGAAGGCGAAGCCTGCCACGCCCAAGTTCTTCGAGTTCAACGCCCGCGGCTCAAAACTGCGCGGGCTTGGTCCAAAGCATCGACATGGGAGTCGTCTTTTGGGTGGCACCCCCCCCCGCATGTTTGATGGTTTTAATGTGCAAAGATATGTGAAGGGCCAGCCAAGAAGACAAGAGAGAAGGCTGGTCACATTGTAGGTTGTAATGATATGAATAATGTAGGTGGCACTTGGAAGGATTTCTATCACTCGCCACCTACAAGCCACCCAATCTCTTTCCTTTCTGTTTCCTCCTTGCTTCTCTTTCCCAACTGTAGGACGAGGCAAAGGATTAGGAAATTAGATAGGAGAATCAATCGACAGGTTATCAGGGTTCATTTTCATCCAAGGTAAGGAGAAGGGCTTGGTGTCTTAAATAGACAAACCAGAAAGGTAATCGGACACCACCATTGTGGGGTCCGATTCTTAACAACCACACCCGAATCACGATCTTTGGCAACATGTCGCTGTGAAAATTATGGTTTTAAGCCAAGCCACTTTTTGTGTTGAGAATCCTTGAATTGAATTTGTGTTGCCATGGTGGTTTTGAAAGCACTGACACCCAAACGTGCCTTTGATGGACGCATCCTAAAAAGATATCCCGTGTGCTAAATTGGTTTAAAAAGGAGCCCCAGCCTTGTAAAGTTGTGGCTTGAAGGAAACTGCAGGCACCCGACATCATTTTGAGAAGGGTCCCTCAAAATGCCTTGCCACGCCATGAGATTGAGTCAGTATTTGGCTTGGAGAACTGAATGAATAGGCATACAGAATGGAGTCCCTAGTGCCTGAATTTAAGGAGAAGCCCTCTGTAGGTTTAGCCCCTGTCCGTTAGGCCAGGCTGTCAAGGCAGCGATCAATCAGGGCCCCTGAAGGACAAAATCGCTCGGTTGGGAATGGTGGCTACCAGGATTCAGAAGATCTCCGTTGATATTCCACGATCCAAAGAAAAGAGACACATTAGTCTGTGTCTAAGTGCCGACCCTCCAAAAGAATGTCTTTCTCTTTGGTTTCCCTTTAAACCCACCTGAAAGAGTACGCTTCAAAACACGGCCGTGAATTTCAACACAGAGCCACCTCCAAAGCCATCAAAATGACGTCCAGAACGGATAAATCCCACCTAAATGATGGTGAGTGAACATGATCTCCCCTAACTGATCCCCTCCTAAATTTGACTCCCCACCATGGACACCGGGTCGATGCATCCAAAAAGCCAGGTCACCGTGGACATGTCCTTCCACACCCAGCTTGGCCTGGACGTGGACTGGGCCAATGGCCGCAGCTTGTACGTGCGACACCTGCAGGCCGGCGCGGTGGAGGAGTGGAATCGCCAGCCCGGGGCTCCAGACGTCTTGTCGCCCGAGAAGAGCGCGGAAAAGGGGCGGGGGGGGACTCCGAAACGTGAGACGTCGAGAAAAGCCCGGGGAAAACCCGGAAAAGGAAAATGGGGGGACTCAAATTTGGGCATGTCTCTATATTGGGCAAACCTACTGAGGTCATGATTTTGACCGTTTCTTGGAGAAGAGATGGCACTGGTTGCAGGTTGGTTCTAATCATTTACCAGTGCCATTGGTTTTACCTAAAGGACACAAATGAACGCCTGTTTGATTTGGTTGGGGTCCCATTTTAGAGGCCAACCTTCCCTTTCATCCGCCAGGAAGAAACACATTCATCCGCTAGGAGGCCATGTAATCCGTGGTCAACATCCCAGTTGTTCGGAAGCACTCTGTTCCCTTTTCGTTTTGTGGGTTATGAGTTTCAGTGAGGAACCACCTCAGAATACCTCGGAAGTGGTTGGCGGACATGAACCCCCACCCAAATGATGTCCACCAAAGGATCCCTAAGCAAATGTCATGCCCAAATCACTAAACATGGAATAGGCAAAACGGTTCCATTCTATGGGTAGGACGTCCCCACCCCCTTAATGGCTGATTGGGGGGGAGGAATTGGGACTAGAGATCTTCGTTGAGAACTGCCAGGATTTTGGAAATGAACAAGGGGGCATTCCCTTTGAAACTCAGAATAGGGATTTTCGGGGGGTTTCTGGGATCTAGGAGATCACCTTTTTTTTGGGCTTCACCCGAAATCCGGTAGAAGCCTTTGGACTTTCCCATGGACACCTCAAATCGGACGCATGTTTGCGCGCGCGCGGAAACGAGGCACCCGGCCCATTTGTCGGTGAACGCGGGGGACCGCATCGTGGCGGTGAACGGCTTCTCCGAGGATGCCCAGGCGTTTTAGTTCGCCCCGGGCGAAGGAGCGGTTGAGTAAACCCGAACATGAGGGGCTACTAAACAACCTGAGAGACTTAATACGAGAGGCTAAAGTATATGCTACAAAACACTGTGACTAAGAGCATGAGGAGTTAGATAATTATTGGTAACAGGTTGCTCCTATGATCATGACTTATGCTAGTTTGCACGCAAACCCGACCCTATGGCTAAATCGGGCCTTACAGAGGGTGAGTGAGGGTTGGCTAACCACTGAGCTTGGGGGGAGGCATATTTTAGCTCGCATGGGAGTGGATTATGAGAAGCCCTTGGCCTACATGGAAAGCCATTCAACCATTATGTGACAAAGTTGACCACAAGGCAAACAGCAAAGTGTAAAGGGTAAACCAGGGTGTAGAAAGGTGAAAGCCGTATTGGCATACTCGCTGCCAAGTGGTTTCCGGTCGCTTGCACTAAGAAACCATCATTGGTTGCATGTCACAAGGGTGCTCGGAGACGAGGAGTCATCCGGTGAGTACAAGAGGTGCTGGTCTTGTTTTTGCAGTCGGCAGCCTTTGCGTGGCGTTGTTTTGCAGGGATGCCTCCAGTTTTCCTATTCTGGACCTAAAGTGGCACTTTCACGGGTAAATTCCGAAACTTGTGTGGTGTCCCGTGGGCACGGTTTGAATCCCTAAGCCACGGTTTGAAAGGAAGCAACGTTTGACATCTGAAACATTTAATTTGACTAAAATGATGGCCAAGAAGGGATTTGGATCCTTGGTACCTTGAAGTCTCGGTTTCCCAAATCCATCCTTCGGTTGCCAGAGCCAGTCTTCAACGAGTCCAGGTTCCTCAAACCCCGAGAAGCCAGAGCCAGTTCCGAGCCGCTCCAGCCATCCAGTCCCTTAGCTGTTTAGTGGTTTTCAGTTGGTTTAGTGGCAGTAGCCAATTACATAGGCCACTAAAAGTGAGACACTAAAAGTGATAAAAAAACAAGAAGAAAAAAACACTTTTAGCCGGGGATCTGAAAACGGGCGGCCCCATTTCCTGAGTTCCCCCCTCCCGGCCACCGGCGAGTCGAGGCCATGGTGCGCCTTTGCCGTGAGCTGGCGCAGGGCCGGCACCAGTTCCAGCTGCGGGTGCGCGGGCCACCGCCCGGACGCCTCAGGAAAAGTCACCCAAAACTCTAGGGGTTCATTCCCCATTCTTTTCAACCATCGTTCTTTTCAATAACCGATCGCGTTTTCCCCTGCAGTTCTGATGGTTTTCTGGAAAGAAGGATCCCTGGAAAGAATGGGGAAGTGTCCCCTAGACAAACGCGGGCGTGTCGGCTTTTCTTGCTGGCGCTTCGCAGGGAATGAGAAATGGAACGAACTTGGGATTCCCTTAAAGGAAACCACCAGTTGGATGGGATTTTATGGGGGGTCATTTCCGCATTCCCTGCTGAGCACCAGCAAGTTTTTTCCGCGACGTGGGATGTGTGGACGGGGTCCCAGTTAAAGCCTTTTCAATATGACTAGCAACAATAGGGGCCCCTTTTTGGTTCAACCGCCAGTGGGCTTTTGAGTACACTTGTTTAGTTTGACCCGCGGGTTATGGTAGGAATTGGAGTGAAACCCATTTATTGTTAGAGGATTGTTCAATCTCAGGAATTTGCAAGTGCACATATATGGGAAGGTTGCACTGTTCCTGGTTGCAACATTTACAGGTAGTGAGGAGGGGTCCCCATAGTTTTGGGTTGAAATTTGTGTATGTGTGTTTCCCCCCTCTTTGCTACGAGAAATTGACAAGTGGTTGACAACAGAGGTTGGTTGGTGTGGCACTGATCTTGGGAGCTATTGTCGGCCCTTTTGGGAAATAACTCTGCCACCATCAACTAGGGCCATTAGTTTGGTTGTTTCTGTTTGTTATCAAAATTAGAAATTGGGGATATGTCCTTTTAACCTACCTCTGAACGGGGTGACTTTGATCAGAATAGAGTACAGGGGCCAGATCCAACATGGGTGTCGTGTTTCAGGCTACACCCAAAATGGCCGGGTGTTCCTGCCGACGACGCTTTGACACCCGCCCCTCAAAACAACGAAACACCCAAAGAAGAGCAGGACGGGTTCTCGGTTTCGCTCGAACGAGGCCCCCGCCGAGCGCGGCAAAGGCACGGAGTTTGGGGATTTTGGGCGGTGCCCAAAACCCCCCAAACCCCTCGCTTGGCCGAAGGTCCCTATAGTTCACTTTTTGGTGGTTTTAAGCACGAGTATCCCTTGGGGGTGATGTTGTAAAGGGAAATATAGAGAGCCCTGTTGGCCAAGACCAATTGTTTAGGCTCCCGACAGCTATGGGGGGTTTTATGGGCTGAAAAAGCAAAGCTCATAGAGAAACCAACGCCAACTATTAGAAGAAGTCTAACAGGGAAAACAAGGTTAGGCTCGAACAAACCGGCGCTCACCTGGGTATGTGTCGACCCCAAGAATGGTTGGATTCCTTTGGTGCTTGTTCGTACCAACCAAAAAGGGGGTCCATTTGGAAAACTCTCGCCGGAAACATGGCTCTGAAGCCCGTGAAGATGTGTTGCTCCGTTTACATGTCTGCGGGAGCCACAAACTGGGTTTTTGGAAGTTTGCTGCGTGCTGGCTCAGACCATGTTCCGACAAAACGGGACCAGTTGTCTGATGGTTTCCATGGAAAGGCTTTTTGAGGCATGGTCTGGACCAGATGCACATTGAAGGATCAAAGCAGACTTGATGCCCTCCAATTCCTGGAAGTGAGCTGCAGGGGGAGGATGGTCGAAGAATTTGGTTCCCACTTCAGTAGATGCGCCCTGAAATCTCTTTGAGTTTGGTGGCTGAGTTCTCCTCAGACATGATTTCAAGGTTGACTAAACCAAACAAAAAGCAATGAGTGACATGATCTGAACATACTACTCTTGGCGTGCCCTGGGCCAAGGGGCAGTGGCTAACCCCCAGAGGGTTCCAACCAAGAAGTGTGGTAGCCATCGGCTCGGCTTCTCTGGTGACCGACCCCCTTTCAATGTTCCAAGTGCACTTCGCCGATGGAGTCGCGAGTCGATCGAGTCCAGGAGGGCGAGGAGAAGAAAGACAAAGGCCAGGAGAAGAAGAAGAAGGAGAAGTCCAAGAAGGACCAGTCACCGTTCTTGGTCGATCCGATCCGGAAAGGCTCGTGGAAAGGGATGTTGATCCTGAACATCTTGGATCAAAAAGTGGATTCTGGATCCTCAAACGGGTCGGTTTTGATCCTGCAACCATGCAGGACTTAGAAGAGAAGGACAAGAAGGAGAAAGAGAAGGAGAAAGAGAAGGAGAAAGAGAAGGAGAAAGAGAAGGATAAAGAAAAGAAAGACAAGCGGGAGAAGGAGAAGGCAAAAGGCCGCAAAAGAGCTAGGTCATCATCTAGCTGAACAGCTCTGAGGCTCGCATCTGCCATTGTGAATGCAAAACAGCGTTTGGACGACAGTCTGCACTCACGGCATCCCATTCAGTGGGGGTGGGTAGGAGGCACTCGCTTGTGTTTCTAGGCCCCCTGCGATTTGACAACTCCAAAAGGGGCTTTTCCAAGGGGATAGTCGAATTGCATAGTGGATTCCATGTTGATCTGCAGGAGAATAAGGGTTGCCAGATGTCCACGTCCTGAATGATGATTATGATGTTTATGATGATGCTTATGATGCTTATGATGATGATGATGATGATGATGATAATGATGATGATGATGATGATGATGATGATGATGATGATGATGATGATGAGAATGACGATGACGATGACGATGACGACGATGACGACGATGACGATGACGATGACGATGACGATGATGATGATGATGAGGAAGATTGCCAACATGATTGCAAGGATACACCAACCAAGAGTAAGAGATCATTTTTTCTGGGTGCATCAAAGTGACAAAGTGTTTGATGACCATCAAGAAATTCCAATTAAGCCACCTTTCGTAATATGGCTGTGGGTCAAACAAATGTGCCAAAATGGCACCTTGGTAATTGGAACCAAAGACAAAACCTGCGTAAGCCCAGTTGTTTAATTTTGAGCCACACCAATATGGAGTTTGATGTTGCTACATACAAAAATGACACATGGCTCTTGTCGAAGGCCATTTGAATCATGGGCCACAAGGAGTTGTTGCGGGTGGCCATCGCCATCCGTTTAAGAGCATAAGCGAGAGCGCGAGACGCAAAGTGGGATTCTCATTATGGCCTTTGGCTCCTGTCCTGGACTTTGGACGTTTTGGGTTTGGAACGAAGTGGCAAACACACAGTTTGGTTACTTTTTGTTTGGCAATCAACTCAGGAAGTGAGTTGTTCTGTCACGTTGATTCGTTTGGCCACTCCACTCCCATCCCACAAATATGCCCACACGTGACTGGCAATGTGATGGCTCAAGCATAGCCAAGTTCGGCCAATTGCTTTAGTTTTTTGAGCTCAAACCGCGCGGTTCGGGTATCTTGGCTGCACGAGTTTCCCATGTCTTATACCTCGCCCTCGGGCAACCTACAGCTTTGCACAGTTCCGGAAGCGTCATGGTCTCAGAACACTCTCACATTCGTTTTCTAAGGGAACGTGGTGAAGAAGCTTTCGCAACTCAATTCTAGCTAAGTAGGAACCTAGGTGTCACGGCAGCCCTCTTCAAAGATATCTAAAAAGGATCCAATTGCAACCATTGTAAGTCACACAGCGTTTCATGCTGAAATTACTTACAGACCTGCAGTGTTTGAGGGGACTTGTTAGTTTAACAATTACCAAAGAGGTTGAATTGTGTTCAAACGGTGTTTCTTTGGGTTCCCTTCAAAGTTTACCCCAAAAAGGGAACCTTCGAGGAAAAAAACATAAGACCACCCAAGGGCCTTTTTTCCCATCTTAGGCCTAGCAAAGCGCAAGCTGCTTTGGACCTTCCTAGGCTGTCGGCATGACCCAGCAGTTTCAGGCAGGAAACGGGGAGTTGAGCGTCTTGGAGGAATCACGTTGGAATGATTAGAGGTGGTACTCTGGGGTCCCCTTTCTTGGTGCTTTGAAACATCACCTAATCTTTGGGAGGTTTTTAAATGGGAATCTGGGGACCTCCACGGACCCAGGGTGCTGGTCTAGTACTTGAGTATTTAAAGGATGGTCCCTTGGCCTACAGGATGGAATCACTGGAGTGCCCCCAAGAAAGACAAGCTCGGAAAGGGCTTGGTGTAACCCAGAGGTTACAAGCATTTGTCGTGCATATGATTACGAAGCCCCCTTGAAAGGGAAATCCAAAGGTCTGTCTGCTTGAGCACTTTGGTGGTTCCATATCACATTGGAGCGAGACAATAAACCTCTTTGTACCCTTTTGGGTTTAGACAAGTTATTGTGCCTCGATCAGGTTTTCTGAGCCCTAAACTGTTGGGCAGATTGGAAGGTGGTGTGCAGGTGGGGAAGCAGTTGGCAAGGATAGGCTCAGTCCAAATCTGGCCTGTTGAACCAGTGGGTTTCCTTTTTGGTCCACGTTCAGTCAGGTTCAACGGGGCAGCTCCTGAGTGAGTTTCTCTGATTTTAAGGGGAACCCTGAGTTTGAGACCAGGGTGTTTTAAACTTGGAATAGGTCAGAGGGCAACAACAAGTTCAACTTGTCTCAAAGTAAAAGTTCAACTTGTCCCCCTTAAATTAACCACCCGCAACAAAGAAGAGGTCCCAGTTGTTGCCAAACTCCGGCAGAAACGTGCCATCCAGCCACGGATGGACGTGTCTCCTTTTTTTGCTGAGCTCGCTTCCCATGCCGATGTTTTTTGTCCGATTCTGTCAGGCGGGGCCTGGGCGTAAGAGAAAACCGGGTGCTCAGCCCAAGAGAACATCGATGGGAATCGCAGGAATCGTTGTTTGTTTGTTTTTTTAATCGGCAAACGGGAGGATGGATATCAATGGGAACACGGCTTGGGTCCAGAAAGGAGTCGGCCGAGGAAAACCTCGGTGGTGCCAAAGAGCGGGTTGGGAACATGGAGGTCTTTCAACGTATACGAGATTATGGTGCTAGAAACAGTAGGGTGTCTGGACCTCTGGTGGAAATTAACTCACGATTACCCTCCCTAGACCTGAAGCAAACATCAAATACCCGACTCCCCAAGGGATCTTGTACCGTTCAAAATGGGGAGGTGTTTTTCAGGTACCCTTGTTATCCTTGTTGGGGTTGGTTAAAAGGGCAACCAAACAGAAAACCACCGATCTATGGGGTCCCCTTGGGATATTCATTTGTTGAGAGGTTCGGGGACATGGCAGATCCACTAAGTCTCAAAGCGAAAGGTGACAAGCGGTTTCGATCCGCAAATGAAGGCTATGGACAGTTTCAATGAAAAGCCGTGGCAAGCCCTTCACGTTGGGTTTGGGACTTCTTTGCATTTTTGGCATTCATTCCTTTTCCCTTTCAACCAGCAAACAGATTGGGCGTGTCTCTTTCTTAGGGGACAACCACAAATTGTGGGATTACTTTTTGCATGGGTTCTCAGTCTGGCCCAGTACTCGACAGCTTTGGTCGACTAACTGTTCGCCATGTTCGGCAGGGCCGTTCGCTTCCTATGTCCTTCCCGCGGGCTGGCCCAGAGCGATCGGATGGCTTCGAAGGGTAAAAGTGCACAGACTACTTTCCTCTTGGAAAGGGGCTTTGTGCACTTCCATGTTAGTTGGTGGGAGCTATTTTTAGTGGTTGCAGACAAGGGTGATATTGATCGTGGTAAAATCATGGGGCCAAGTAACGCCATTCGGATTCCCTACAGCTCTTCCCAAACTCACGGCAAGCTGACACCCCAACTCTCAACATTATATGTCCAGGTTTGATATCGTAAGTGAATGTTGCTGCGCGCCTTAAGACCAGCTTGCCTTTGTCAACTCTGTTTTTTGCCTTTTGAAGTTTCCTTGCGGTGGGTTTTGCAACCGCCGCTTTGCAATTCGTCTGCCCGCTTTCGGTTGGCACTTTGCTTCCACTTCACAGAGCCCTCGGGAATCGCCGGGTCGCCTGAGGATCTTCTTGCGGATTCGGATCGGAAGAAAACAGGCAAACGACCAAAAAAAAATCGATTTGTTGGTCTCAAAACAGGCAAACGACTTCTGCAACCATCGATTTGGCGGTTCCGCCGTTTTGAGACCAACCTCCCTTCTGGCTTTGGGGTGGCGCAGGCCAAGCCTATCAGACGCCCCAAGGCTGAAATACACTCCCTGAGACCAGCCGAAAGTTCCCTCCCCCAATTGGCCTCTGTAAATGGAAGCAAGTCTTCGAAAGGGGTTTTTCTTGGGCAGCTTCCATGGAATCGCCGGGGGGAGGGTAGTGTCTTGCCTTGAGCAACAAGGTAATTCCTACTTCACCTGCCCTTGAGGTTTGCTTGGCACACTGTTGGTTGCTTCCATGCATGCGGCGCCCTGGAACGAGCGCGGACCCTTCTCGCTATTTCGTCCTTGTCCCATGCCATAATCCGCACAAAGACAAGTCCTTCTCTTCCCATGTGAAAAAAACACAAAATCCCAGCGGTGCGTCCTTGATGGTGTTTCCCTATGAAATTAGGGCTCCGTAAAAGATGCATTTTGCCCATTTGAAACATGGTTTTTTCCACCAAACTAAAGGGAAACCACCATTTACAAGGCAATGTTCAGGTGTATAATGTAAGCATCCCTGTCCAAGACGAGTCCTTTTCCTTCCGGGGTTTCCCCAGCCAGTTGCGCGGTCGAAACCCAGGTCCAAGGATCGGCACGAGAGGCATCTCGGCAAGGGCGGGATCCGCAGGCGGTCAACAGCTGAGGTGAAGGTTAGCTAAGGGACAATCCCATAAATTGGCGCGGCTGGTGTTATGTCTTGCTTTCATACATACAATATATACACATATATTTATAGTATTGACATGGTTAGGGTAGGCCACTTCAGTACCAGCTTTCGATGACTCTCAGCTCCGATGCATTGCCCCGGACTCCTTAAGTGAAGGTGTCCTGTAAGGCCTCGCAGATCTGCAAAGGGCCTGTGCTCGGAACCGGCGGATCGCCGAAGGCTCGAAGCCGAATTGCGATTTCTAGGGACCCGTTGAAGGCGTAGGGACAAAGGGCAAAGCCATGCTTGAGGTCGCCTCCCATGGAACCGTTCGACGTTCGGGGGTCGCTAGTTTGGACCATTTTCCCAAAGGGGCCCCCGAATGTCAGGTTTGTGAATTGGTGGGAGGAGACCCTATTGTGACACATATTTTCCAAGGGTGCAACCCTGCATTCCGGATTCCCTCAATAGTGGGGCAAGTACCCCGCAATAAATATCAACAGGGGGTTGTGAATCCTGGGTTTGGCTGTAGTTGATATTCTGTTCTCAGGTGAGCTTCACTGCTAGACCATGATTCGCCTGAAAAGGCATGGGAAAACAGTTTTGTTCCACGCAAACGGATGTAACATGTCCAAGGATGAGTATGGTCCGCATTGGTCCGGTGAGTCTTTTTTGCGGAATCCCCGTGTTTCTGCCTTTGAAGGGAAACCAAGAGGACAGCCACCATTTTGGGCCCCTGAAAAAATGACCGCACCCAGATTTTGGTTGGACATATCACGCCCTCGAAACCCAGCCTATCCACTTGGGAAAGGCGATCCCTGCGAGGCGAGTCCTGGGCGACTTGTCCAACACTTCGTGGCCAGCGGGGGCCTTGGCGCGCTGAGGCTCTTTTTTTTTCTTCTTCTTTTCGAGGCTAGCAAAAGGACGGCCATGGCGCCCGACACCTCAGCCATTCCTATGGGAGTTGAGTTGCAGGTGTTCGTCCATTCCACATACCAGGGTTCCGTTTTTGGGGGTACCCGGAATTTTTGACCCGCCGTTTTGATCCGCTTTGCAGATGATGTTCGGTCTAGCCGGTACTTGAGGTTCGGCCAGCTGAGTTCCTTCGGACTTTTGAGAAGGCCCTTTGAATAGTACCTGGAGTCTCCATGACCCATTAAAAATGGGGTCATGACCCCTTTATTTTGGGCAATGACCCCATTTTTAAAGGGTCATGGAGACTCCAGGTAGACACAAGTAAACAATTTGGACTTGTTTTGGGGTTAGCTCGCGCCAGCGAGCTAACATGTAATCCGAGCCATTGGGCTCACATTGTTTTTCTGTGTCCATTGCGAGAACTGCATAGTTCGAGAAAAGGAATTCTGATTTGAAAGGCTCTGCCCAAAACAAGTCGACCTGAAGCGAGCTCTTGCTTTCAGCCTGTTTTGGCCCACGTTTAGTCGAGCCCGCTTGGGTATCCATCTGGGGTAGCCAGAAGCTCGTTGAACAAAACAAACTGTTTGGTGCACGCAAGACGAACGTGTTCTCGGTCCAAGACTCAAGAGTCAACCTCCCTTTTCACTTCGTCACAACAAGTGAGGGCACGTTCGAACATGGGGTGACCAACTATAGGCGACCTGTTTTTGGTTGGCCAATGCGCAAGACTGCCTTTTTGCCCAGATGACATTTGACGTCAGCGTGGATTGACAATGCAAAGGCCGCATGTGCGCGGCACTAGTTGTGGGAGCTCACCTTGGAGGTAAACGAACTCACCTGCGATGAACGTCCCTTACTTTTAAGTATGGATCCCTGACTTCACACTTCACGCAGATGTTTGCACGCACCGCTTGATTGTAAGAATAGCTGTGCGACGCTGCAAATACCATGGTTGACCTTTTCTTTATCGAGACGTGGAATGTCCACTTTTTCAACTTGGTAGGAAAGAGGGCCATCGCCGGATGTATCCATTGTCTCCTGAAGGCGAACAGAACTTGGGAACCGACTGACGCCTTCGTCTAGGGGGGATACAGGGATGGCAACATGCCCCAAAGTTGGGTCAGGCTGTGAAACCCGCAGAACCGGACCCGAGAAGATTGGTTGGAGGGGAGCCGTTTCGGAGCTGGTATCCAAAATTGCATTTAAAGAGGGAGCTAAAGAGCGACCAGGAGTTCTGTACCCACTCAGAAAGGAGATTCCCCCAAAGAGGTTCCATGAGCTGAGTATGTCTATGCAGTGCAAATCCCCGAGGGCAACGCAGAGAAGCAACTCGACTGCAGTTGTGGTGCTCTGACTACTCAGTTCAGTGGCCCTGTTCCCAAAAGGCGGTTTTGTGGGACATGGCAAACCGGGGTCGATCAGAGCAGTGCTCGTTTGCATCTCGTTAGTTCCCAGTTGTTCAGTGGATTCCACGTTTTCCCTGACTGTTTGGTGGCTGCCCCGCTAAACATGGAGTCAACCCAAAAAAGGGTTATAAAATCAACTTGTTTGCCTATCAGGGTCACTAGGAAACTGGGTTGAGGGGTCTTTAAGGGGGGAGGGTTTCTGAACCAGGGACGATTAATAGCCTATATGAGATCCTATGAGTTGCTGTTTATATGTTCCGGAAGTAAACCAAAAGACATGGTGTTGCTATTGCTATGTCATAATTTTCCCAGACGGCCTATTTGTCTAAAGCACATAAGGCAAAACCATGTTTATTTTATTTTTATTTGGGGTAAGTTGCTTCTGGGTTGTATAGGCACAACGGAAATACCACTCGCTTGTTCTCCATTAGAATTTGGTTGGATGACTTTCTTTGAGACAAATCTAGGGAGTGGTCCCGATGGGCACAGAAATTTGACTTAAGAGCAGGCGTCAGAATTGGCAGAAGGAACTGGGAAGACTTGAACTTAGCAGTGATGCTTGAGTCTGCGTAGTGCTCTTGTTCCTTAGTCTCAAGCCTTCGACTCCTCTACCTCCATATTTGGCGTTACTCGCTCAAATGCAACACACTGATGACGTTTCGCTGAGTTGTTGTTTGTGTTTTCCCGGGCCCCTTTTTGCAGGCGGGGTAGGTATTGTAGACATTTCGAAGGCAGATTTATCTCCCTGATGACTCAAGCAATGGTGCCACTTGCAGTTTAGAACTGGCCTGGCGCAGACGTGTTGAGTGGGAAGCATAAAAGTTTGTGTGTGTGTGTTTTCCTTGGGTGATTGAACCTTACGTTTCTCTTTTTGTGTTGCTTTATGTGTTTCTCTTCTTGGGGTGCAAACCTTTGTTCGTTGCAAGTGGAGGGATGGTTATCAATTATCAACCTGAATAGTAAGGAGAAGAAGTGGGGGGGGGGCCTGAGTCTTCCTCTCACGGGATTCCAGCCGCCCCTTTGGGAGTTTCGACACCCGTTTGCCGAAACACACCAAAGGTGAACATGAACAGTGCCAGGTACGTTGGCAGTTGACAAGTACCTTCGGAAAAGGATTGTTTGCTTTTGGAAAGGCGGAGTTCTCCTCTGGGTTTTTTGAAGGACTGTCCAAGTAGAAAAACTCTGTCAACAGGTTCCTTCAGTTTATGGCTTTGGTGTAGCACCAAAGGCGAAGCCAAAAGGAGCGGTTGGCTTCGCCGGTGGCTTTTCCCCTAAACCTACAGAAGGTGATTGAGCTTTTGCAACCTACCCTGCAATCGTATGGGAGCAACCTTGAGTCGGGTCGGATTAGCCATGCCTACTCTGCTTCGTGTACATGGACCCCAAAACCTCAAAATGAGCTCAGGTGATTTCCCCAACAGCCTGCAGCCCCAGAAATCGGCACCGCCCCAGAACCCTTCCTGGAACCGGGTTCCCAGGTTCCATGTAGAATTTCCCCTCCCCTCCCCCCCCAAAAAAAAAGGGGAAAAAAAGAAAGAACAGAACAACAGAAACACAACAACGACAACACCCTCCCAAAAGCTAGCTACCCACAACCAATGGCAGCGTAGATGTCCAAAATTTCTCAGGCGGGAGCGGCACGAGCCACCCCGCACGCCACGGAAACGCAGCGTGGAGGACTTCGAGGTCTTTACAGGCGGCCGGGGAGCTCAGTCTGTGCCCGGACCTCCGGCGGGGGCAAGTTCTGATGGCTTAGCTACTCCACAGAAGTGTTCCACCTCAAAGACATTATGGCTCAGGCGGGACCATCGACAACACTCTTTCTCTTCCCTTCAATCCTAGCCAGGAATGCCACCATGTACGCCGGGAAGAAAGTGACAGAGGCAAAGGCAAAAGCAAGGGTCTCCACTTGGCGTCCCTTGTGAAGCGCGCGGTTCACAGGAACACGCGCAATTCTCCCAGTTTGACATGACACGTGATGACCTGGAGAACTGACTGTGAAGTGGTTCCAGCCATTGCGGCGCTCGAGCTCCTTCCTCTCAAGCCCAGCTTGAATCCTAGCTTCTAGTCACAACCAGAGCAATGTCTATTCACTCTTTTGTGAGATGCCTCACGCGGAGACGATCTTGACCCTGCATGACAGCCAGGCCTTGCTGAGTCCTTCTTGAACTGACTAATGCGGAGACACAGTCCCTGCGGATAACCGCAGGTTTCCTGGCAGGGCACTCGGTAGGCGGGAGAAAACCGCTCATGGGATCCATCAGCTGTTTGAGGGGAGGGGCCAAACTGAGGTTGGGCGCCTAGGTTTTTTTTTCTGGAGTGGTGTCAATTTTCTTGTGGAGGGGGTGTCCCTTTTTTTGGGAGGGTTTTGCTTTAAAACCTAGTACCAAACAAAAGGTGCCGGTCTCATTTTTGTTCCCATGGCCACTGCAAATTGAAAAGGGGCAAGCTGGGAGGACCAGTTCTTGCGTGAATTCCACCCTTTTCCCTTTTGTTTGGCTTTCCCACTAGACATGGTTCACTCCCTTTTCAACCGATCGGGGCACGGAACTGGTCGAGAAAGATGGTTTGAGTGGACAGCGACTAACTTACTTTAGGGTTCCTGTTTTTCGGGTGACATACTGCACCTTACCTCAGGGCCACCAATTCTTAGGGGCAGGGTGGTCTCCCAAAAAGGATAGCAGTCCAAGCACCCAACAGAGGCCCTCTCACTTACCACGGCTCAAGAAAATATAACCCCCTCAAAGGGCCCGGTGTCCTTTTGGTTTTTATACGTCCATTGTTCACTGTTTGGAAAGCCAATGTTTCCTGGTTATGTTAGGCGCATACCTTGTCTTCTTTTGAGGGAACCCTATAAGAATTGTAGTGTCTTCTGATCTTTTGAGGGAGCCCTTTGTTGGCTGGTAAAGGGAAACCAAAAAGGAAACTAGTTGCGCCATTGTTGGGTCCTGGCCCGAAAAAATGCGACCCCATAGGACCATGTTAAGAAGTTGCAGGCGAGAACGACACCATGGGCCAGGCGGGTGCACTTTGAGAGAGTTGGGAAGTGAGAGGGAGTGCGGGTTTCTCCAACGGACCAAACCACAAATTTGGCCTCGCAAATGATCAGGGGGTATCCATTTAACCGCAAAGCAAGGGATCGCACACGGATCGATCTCCAGCTCAGAAGGTTTCCATGCACCAGCCTGTCTCAAACCACAACCAGAAAGAGAGAGGGTTGCTCCTGCTCGCAGCTTTTCAAACATGACCAAACCACAAGGATAGACGGTGTTGTTTTTGACAAAAGAAAAAACCCACGCCAGCAAAAATCCCATCCCTGGTGCAGGAATTGAAATCCATCCCCATGACCAAAAGAGTAATTTGGGTACGGGTCAAAAAATATCACCACGACTTGGACCACAAATTTTGGTCCATTCCTTTTACCAGGCTTCCATTACGTGGTTGCCCGATTTTTGACCACGACTGCCGTTTCTGTTGGGCCCTGCTTTGTTATTCTTTCCTGCACATGTTCTACCCTTACAAGGTCTATGGAGCAGCCCAGGCATGGGCCCTCCGGCATGGAGATTCCCCGAAGGAAGCACAGTATGTGAAATGAACATTACTTGGAGTACGGCAAAACCAGATTTATTTGCGTACATACAACAAAGCGGCGAATTGTGTCTAGGGGGCGTCCCTTTCAGTTGAATCTAAATCGCTTTTCTTGGGGACTTGTTTGATAGTGAAAGAAAGTCAGGTAGCTCAGAGGACCCCAAGAAAGCAGCGACTTCCTTTAATGTCTTTGCCACGTGCAGGGCCTCAGGGACCCAACCACGTACCCCTAGGGCCCTGTGTGTCCCGTCGAGAGGATTCACTTCTTGGAAGACCCGATTTTCCTCCGCGGACAGGTTTTGTAGGCAAGCCCTCGGGCTTGCCACCCTATCAAACGGCAAAAGGAAAAGAGTGGATCCCTGGATCGACAGGGTGACAAAAGGCGAACCGCCTGGGAAGTTATTTTCACCCGCAGGGTCACGGATTTGACCCGATTCGATTGCCAGGAAGGCGGCGACGCGACCTCGGAGAGAGAGAGGCAAGCGCTGTGGCCTTCCGGACGTCGATTGGGAGAAATGGGCGTGGGTCGATTTACCGCCAGAAAGCCGCAGGTTTTAGCCATTGGGTTGCATTTAGGGCAACCCATTTTGGGGTACCCTATTTTTGACAACCACAGCCAAACGAAGACAGTTTTGAAGATTCGCCAGGTCTGAGCACGTAGTCGAATGGTTTGTCAGCTTTGGGGTGATGTCTTGCGAAGTTGAACTTACTCTAACTCAAGACCTCAAATCTGGGAAAGGAGGAGTGTTTCTCCCCAAGAATCAAAGTCCACAATTCTCATTGGTTCTGAAAAAGCGATCAACTTGATTCCCTCATGTTCAGGTTTGGAGGAGGCAGTGCCTACTATTTGGTGTAGCCTGTTCGCTAGGGTCGTAACAATTGCCAGTTCGCGAGTCCGATCTTTAGCAAAAAACACGAGCTTTCCGTGTAGCCCAGGTGTTTGTTTCCTGAGCTTTCACAGGGTCAAATGTTGGTACCAAACAAATCTTTGCCCTTTGCTAAGATGATGCTCGACATTTACATCCAAGGTTTAGTTTGGGTTGAACGTTTGAATCTGGATCAAGTAAACAGGGTCCGTAATTCTTCCAATGCCATTTGCAGTATCGTTTTCACTTGGACCAATTGTAGATAACTTGCCTCTTGGCCCTGTCAAAGCTCGGCTTACCAGAGTTTTGGATATGACTACGCAAAAACAAGGTCCGGTTGAAATCAGAGTGCCGTTGGCTCCAGGTGCCGAGAGGGTGAGCAATTCAAGACCCAGGATTTGTTCTGAGTGCAGCTTCGTATTGGAGCCCAAATATCCATTTGACACGCTGTAAGTAGTCCCGTAGCCCCCGATTGATATGGTTTCGTATCAGGGGGTTTGGGTTTGGCAACTTGAGTGGAGCCAATCGAACCTTCCGAAGCCCATCCCGTTTGAGTTGCGAAGAAAGCCCATATGTTTGTTGGATGCAGCTTCCCCGAACTCCAGGATGCGCGACCTGCTGCGGGACTTGGGGGTGCAGGCGACCGGATGGGCTCCGAGCCGAAAGAAGAAGCTCTCCTTTTGAAGAGGTCGCAAAAAAGGTAGCCCAAGTAGTCGAAGGCCACACTTTCCCTTTTCAGGCTCAAAGAAGAGTGCTCTTTGATGTTTCATGCATCGAGTTGTTCTAACCTGTTGCCAATCAGTTCCCCTTGCCAAGTCACCCCAACGTAGATCTGTGCCAACAATCCTAAGCCTGTCCAAACTGGTTTAATCCGGCCGATACAAGCCTATCCAACCCGGGAAATTCAAAAGAATCCGGACACATCCGAGGACCCACCCAATCCCTTCCAGCCATGATCCGTGTCAAGCCTTAAACAAATGGCTTCACCGTGAGATAGGGCAACTTCATCGCGAGGCAGAACACACCAAACGGCAACTTACAGCGATTCCCTTGTGAATCCCTTGCTTTGCCTGCGGTGCCACCGTCGCCATTGGGGGTCTGCTTGGATGTTCCAACCACTTCAGTAAGACGAGCCTAGTGGCGACAGAGTTTTCCTCCTTTTGTGGGTGGCTCTCCCTGTTAAATGTACCAACCAACGGAGGGACCTCTGGGCAAGTAAGTGGAACTGTTGTTTGTTTTTCTCTAGTAGTGTTGGTTTCTTTTAAGGTGTTCAACATGAGTAGGTACTTTCACCATATGTTTTTGTCAACCAATGTTGTCAGCCGCTTCCACTTCCAACGAATACTTCAGGAGTGCCTCTGGCGTGCTTCTGCAAAGCTGCGTGGGCCACCCGCGGATCGAATTTCCACCTCCGTTCTGCGTAGGCGTGGGATGGTCAAGCTTGACCCTTATGGGATCGTGTAAGTATAAGATACCTCAACTTTCTGGTGCGCTAGGCACGGAATGAGGGAATGACCCCTATAAACCATTTCTGATGGTTTTCTTTGAGGGAATCCCCAGGTTCATTCCCTCATTCCCTACTGAGCACCAGCAAGTTATATAAAGGTGTTGGAGTGCGGCAATTGCACCGCAATGACCCAGCAACACCTTGTAGGATTCTCGGGGGGAAGGGTTCTCTAAGACAACCCAAGAGGCGCAACTTTGTCCTGGCAGTGCATAGTACCCTACCTGCTGGGTGGCTGGAACATCCAGGGAAGTAGGCCATGAGTTGAGATGTTCTCACCAGCAAGCACCATTTACATGTTTTCCACCCCTGCAGAAGACCATGGACAGACACTCCCCCCTAAAAAAAAAGCGGAACACAACCCGCAGAGGTCATCGAGATTATTCCCCACCCAACTGTCTCTCTCAAAAAAGAACCTGGAACACCTCTTGAAACAAAGGAAAGCATCACCCCGTATTTTGCAGCGGCATCGCGTCTTGGAAAGGCCCCCCCTTCGACGTTTGAATACAACACAACAAAAGTTGTGGATTCATAGTGTGAGTGAATCTTAAACTTTACTCAAAGATAATCTTGCATTTCATTTTGCTTACGGATAATTGCTAAATCCTTATCCTCGGGTTGCCCTAAGATGAAATTAAGCTCGCAAAACCAGGGTCCTTCTTCCTTTTGCTCGTTTCAAGTGGGCTATCAGCCTTGCCTGCTTTTCCAGGGTGGAAGGTTTAGCTACGTTCTTCCCATTTCACCTTAAAAGGCATTCCCCCCCCCTCCTCTCCCCCCTCTTCCCCCTCCCCTCTCCCCCCTCTCCCCCCTCTTCCCCCCCCCCCTCCTCTCCCCCCTCTTCCCCCCCCTCCCCCCCACCCTCCCTCCCCCCCCTTCTCAGCCGTCGTCCTGTGGGGCTGGTGGCGCAAAACGGGCCGTCAGGAGCTCCCGGCCTTGGACCGCTGCGCGGAGGCCCCAAGCGCGACCTTCTGGAAGCCCTTCTGGGAGGCGCGGTCGAAGCTGAAAACTTCAGCCCAGACACCCAGGGGTTGCGGTGATCGGTGGGGTTTCTTTTGTTTCCCACTGTCTTGGGGAGGTGGGTGTTGGTGTTTTTTTTTTTTTTTGTGCTGGCTTTCCAAGAATGACTTGTTGGAGTTGTGGTTGTCCGACCTTATTTTGCAGGAGTGTCCTTCCAAACAACCAAAGCGACCCAATGAGTTGCAAGCATTCTATTCAACTCCTTGTTTTTGGAGGGCGAGCGCCTTGAAACTCAATGGAAAAGAGGCTGCCGACTTGTTTTTCCCCATGGAAACCCGCTGGTCGACACTCCGCGAGACAAGCCAAACACAGCCAACCCAGCAAGCGCTTACAAGGGAAACCAAACAAGGGATGAGGGCGCCCTTCGTTTCGGAACACTGGCAGCCTAAGTTTGGACCTTTGTCATGGTTGTGACCTTAGCCCCTGAGACCTTTGCTTAGGATGACTCCACTCAGAAGGTGAGCCAGTTGCCCAGTGAGTGCCCCTTTCCCTTTTGGGGCGTTCCCCTTTCAGCCCCACCTTGTTGGTGCCCTTCGCCGCATGTTTGTTTCGTGACGCTGATTCGGGGGTAAACGAGCGAAAATCCAGTGGGTGCTTGACCTGGGGATCCCGACCTGGTGGAGACACATTGGGGTTCAATAGTAGGGGTGCTCCGGCAGATGGTTTTTCACCTACTATAGAGGCTTGCCTGGGATCTAATGGGTTTTGTTTCGCGGTCCTTTGGCCAACTGGTTGCGTGTTCTCACAGGCAGATGATTTCTCTTGAGGCATTTCGTCTCGGGTTTGTCAGCTTCGGCTTGGATGGCAAACCTAGTGCGCAGGTTGCAACTGTGGTTATATATATAACCTAACCCCAGTTGCCCCACTCTCACCCATGTGGTTTTGTTAACATACTTAGCTGCATAGTGAGCATGCAAGCGCCTGTGGCTTTCGGTGGTGTTGGGCACCCCCCCCCCTGCCCCAACCGCGCGAAACGAGCGTGTCGGTCAGGGCGGTCCTGCAGATCCAGCGGAGCTGGCGTGCCGGGCATGTTTTGCCGCCAAGACAAGGTTTGGTACCATCTTTCACGCGACAAAAACCCAGGATTTAACCAACTTTGGGGACTCAGGTGATTCCACTTCTCTTACATCTTCCCCTTGCCTAAAATGATGAGAAAGAACATATGTTTAAATCCAGGGTTGAACGTTGTGCGACAGATGCGGGGTCCAAATGAACCAATTGGAGTGGCTCCCCTACGGCTCATCGGTGTAGGACTCAAGGCGGCATGCGGCACCAGGACCATATGTTTGGCAGCCCCACAAAAAAGTTCCTTGGCTTCACTCTTCTTGGATCAAGTTTCTTGGTTTGTTGTCTTCTTGTTTGTTGATTCTGTTCATTGTTAGGTTTGGGGGGGGGGGGGAAACGGACTCATTTTGTTGGCCTCAATCATCGCGTTTTGGTTGTGAAGATTGGCGTTTGGGGGCGCGGGGGGGGGGGGGAAGGGGGGAGGGCCTGGGCATGGAGAAACCCCGAAATGCAGACCACGTCCATTTGCTGAAAGGAATATGTTTTATTTTCCCTTGTTGGTTTTAAAGGGAATCAATTTCACTACTGGACATGTTTTTATTTTTTGCACGGGGCTTAAGCAAACGGAAGACGAGAAGGCCGACTTTTAGCGAACACAAGTTTGTCTCATGGGGGCTGCGGGGGAGGGAGCCCTAAATAAAGCCTTGGCAAAATAAGGGCTTATTTGGCCTCCCTCCCCCTCCCCTCCCTCCCCCCCTTAAACTCAACAAAGGAAAGTTTTGTTGGTTTCCTCTTGGCTTGTTTTTCATCGACCAAACTGAGGTTCCCCCCCAAACAAGACACCCTCAAATGGTCTTCCAGAAGCCCCGTCAAGCACCATGGCATCCTAGGAAAAGCTTCGTCCAGTACCAGGGCATCTGAAGGTTTGGCAATTTTAGGAATGGTAGCAAACATGCCTGCTACCTGATTAAATGTGGCTAAAGTGGGGCCCGTGTTGCGTTCCGTGACCCAAACATGTTAACCTTGTATTTCTGGGTCCCCAAGGGGCATGTTGTTTTTAGAGACTCGGATCTTGTTGGCTTTGGACCGTCTCGCGCAACTTGACTATATATCAAAGACTCATGTGCATCATGGTCACTTTAGCTGGCTGGAAAGTTTGCTCACTTGCCAACGAGCAAGCAAGCAAGATGGAAAATTGCAATCAGCAGCCAGATAGTTTGTTCTATTCACCCGTGAATTTGGAGGCAAAAAAGATGTGCATTTGCTTGTCTGTGGCAGGATTGTTCTGATAAGTAACAAGGTTGCCCCCCGTTTGGTTGCCATGTAAAGGGAACCATGGCAAAGCCAACCATTTTGGGAGCATCCTAGTTGTGTGTGTGCACTTGAATTGGAGTTGCTATGACCGGGCTTCTGAATTGTTTTTTTTTCCACGGGTCAGATGGCGACACATTTTTGTTCTTCCCTCAAATGTGTGTCGTTTTTGGATGGTACCCCGTTTTTGGTTGGGTTTTAAAGGGAAACCGAAAGGAAAGCCGCCATTTCGGGGGATCCCTAAAAAACACACACACACACACACTCCCAAGTAGCTTTCGGTTGAAGGGCCGTGAGCCTTGCCTGACAGGTTCTGTAGCCGCCCCCTTTTCCGTTCTGCCCCCCGAAGGTTGAGTGTTGGATGGACCTCAGGGAACCAAGGAGAATCTTGGGAGCCAACATACCCTCCCTTCCACATAGCAACTTGGAAGATAGGAGACATGTCCTCTTGTAGGGACCCCCTGTCAGGTGCCATGTTTGTGGGAGTGAGCATTGGTGGGCTGCAAAACATCAAGATGTCCCATTTTGGACACTAGAATTGTCAATCCCCTTTTGTCTCCTCCCATGCCGCCATTTTAGAGGCTTAGCTCGGTATTGCCAGATTGCCGCTATTCTCATCAGGTAAGCCCGTCCGCATTTCGTGTCCGCTTGTCTTTGCCAACGAAATGGCTGACGATGATCTCGGTCTGTTCGAGTCCTTCAGTCACAATGTACCAGTTACCTGAGAACATAGGAGGCTGCCAGGGTGGTCGGTTCAAGACCCATGAAGGATTTGTTCTTGCATGGTGTACAAGGATTCGATCCCTTGCAACTAGTTGGGATCGGCCCTTTTTGTTTGTCTCAGGTTCGTGTTTGCCATCTGTATCCAGAAAAACCTTACTGTGCCATGAAGGTGGATGCCCATTTGCCGAGTGGAGATGGTTACTCAGTAGAAGTCTCACAAGGGACGCTGCTGCAGCACAGCAGCATTTCCAGCGCCGCTTGAAGCTCACTGCGGAAGGCCTGCAGCTAGATGAAACGGCCACGCTGAGGGAGGCCGGGTTGCAAGACGGGGATGTGGTGCTTGCGGTTGCACAGCTTGGCAAACTGGCTGCCGCAGACAGGGCATTTGCTTGGCATGGCCACGGGGGCGAGGTTGTGACCTGGGGTCCTCCAGTATTTGGAGGAAACAGCAGCCAGGTGCGAGAGCAGCTGAAGAACGTCCAGCACATGCAAGCAACTGCCTGCTCTTTAGCTGTCACTCTTAACTCTGGGTCTGTTGTGACCTGGGGTCATGCAGAATATGGCGGAAACAGCAGCCAGGTGCAAGGGCAGCTCAGGAACGTCGAGCATTCTGGAATCTGGAGCTGTTTTGACCTGGGGAGATCAAGAGGCAGAAAGAGACAGCAGCCAGGTTCAAGAGCAGTTGAGGAACGTCCAGCACATCCAAGCGACTCACCGTGCTTTTGCTGCCATGCTGGAATCTGGGGCTGTTTTGACCTGGGGTGATCCAGAACTTGGCGGAGACAGCAGCCAGGTGCAAGAGCAGTTGAGGAACGTCCAGCACATCCAAGCAAGTATGTTTGCTTTTGCCGCCATTCTTGACTCTGGAGCGGTTGCGACCTTGGGCCGTGCAGACGTAGGCGGATCCAGAGGGAAGGGGAGACAGCAGCCAGGCGCAAGAGCAGTTGAGGAACGTCCAGCACATCCAAGCAACTGTCCGTGCTTTTGCTGCCATTCTGCAATCTGGGGCTGTTGTGACCTGGGGAGATCCAGAGGCAGGGGGAGACAGCAGCCAAGTGCAGGATCAGCTAAGGAACGTGAAGCACATCCAATCAAGTATGTTTGCTTTTGCCGCCATTCTTGACTCTGGAGCGGTTGCGACCTTGGGCCGTGCAGACGTAGGCGGATCCAGAGGGAGGGGGAGACAGCAGCCAGGCGCAAGAGCAGTTGAGGAACGTCCAGCACATCCAAGCAACTGTCCGTGCTTTTGCTGCCATTCTGCAATCTGGGGCTGTTGTGACCTGGGGAGATCCAGAGGCAGGGGGAGACAGCAGCCAAGTGCAGGATCAGCTAAGGAACGTGAAGCACATCCAAGCAAGTATGTTTGTTTTTTGCCGCCATTCTTGAGTCTGGGGCTGTATTGACCTGGGGTCATCCAGGCGAAGGCGGAGACAGCAGCCTTGTGCAAGAGCAGCTGAACCCTGGGCTGTTGTAACACGGATGGATATCTCAAATCTGGGGCTCATTGGTTCGGCGTCAGCTTTAGGGAAATCAGATTTGGGGTGGACAGCTTGCAGCGCAACGCTGCACAAGGAAGGAGGTGATCAAGAGCTGCCAGAGTGGCTTTGCATTGCATGTGTGTTCCTTTGAATGCTGGGATTTCTGTTCAAGGCAAACTGAGCACTTTGGTTTCCGGTCGCATTGCAAAAGCCCCAGAGCTGTGAGGCTATTGGTTTGGATCCGGGGAGAATTTGAATTTTGAGCCCAAGTGCCTTAGGCTCAATTCATCCCAATCACCTTCTTGGTTTGGACCCAGGACATTTTGAAGGAGGAAACTCTTCAAACATATAGACAGATTAAAAGGAGGCAATCCATCCTTTGATCAGTTTGGATCGCCAGCTTTTGCTTGGAGCAACCGATTCTAGGTGTTGCAGGCACAATAGCAGCACATGTATGCAATGAATCTTTGCTCTCACTGGTAGCCTTTTCCAATTGGTCACGATTGACGATTTTGCGCCGTGCGCATGAGTTGATGTACCAACTGATACTGTGAGTCTGTGAATATGAGCAACAGTTCATA